GAACACATAAATTCTTTTCTATGATCATCAAAATAAGATATACGTACAATGCGATAGTGTTTTTATGGACTCCGTACTGGAACTAACATTTAGCAAATTCTACATGACTAACCTAGAGAATAACGTACTTAATACCACAAAAAAAAACTCCATTTACCTAAGATATGTAGATGACATTCTCATTTTAGTCAATAACATAGCCGAAATTCAAGAACTACAAAAATGTTTTTTAGAAACTGTACTTAATTTCTCATACGAACTTAACAACGACAATAAACCCCTTTTCTTGATGTATTGATAGACACTAATACCAATACAGTTACTACCTCCCCATATAAAAATCAACTAACAAAAACTGGTGCACACTCAACTATAAAAGTGAATGTCTTATTACAAAATAGCTTTTGTACGAAACTTAACAAGCCGTGCGAAAGCAAATTCTGCAACAAGAAAGATTTTCTATACTGAATGAAAAAAACTATTAGACAAACCCTCATTAATAACGACTTTCCGAATTACATTGTTGATGAACAAATTAGACGAGCTATTGGGAATAATAACATAAATGAAAATGAACATAATACGTCTTCAAATAACTCAACGTTTCAAACTATTATACCGTAATCGAATGCATTCTAACTATGAGCAAGAGGAAACAATTCTAAAAAGACTCAAATACTAATATATCCCCACCCCGATCCAAGTAAAAAAAAAAAAATTAATTATATACTATACTCAATTTAATACAGCCAACTTAGTCATCCATAACAACTCTTCTCCATCAACTAGCATCTTACAAAAGAGCAACATTGTATATCAATTTAAATGTCCTTTGGGTGGTTGCATCTGTGAAAAAAAAAAAAAAAGATGTTAATACGTATGTTTGTTTTACAACGATGACGAGAAGGTTTACTTTTGACTTGAATGACCATAGTTCAGTCTCAAAACATGTAAAGGAACACTTATGTCCACATTCAGATTTAGAGAGATGTTAATAAAATCAAGTATAGCAACAAAGTTCTTAAATGTCTGTAGCAGCGAAGTGTTATATAAAAATACTAAAATAAAATACTACAATTAAGAATAAATTTTAATAATTCACATAAGTTACCTCACTTGTATAATGGTAAAAATATTTTGAATTTATGGTGTTAACGCGTAACACATCCATAGATATGCAACCCCTAAAGATGATCTCAGATGGGATTGAAAGTGTGGAAAATAAAAATTATTTGAAAGAAAATTTTGGAAATTTTCTTAATCAATTTTCTACAGCCAGCAAAAAATTAATTCGTGAATTGAGAGAATTAAAACTAAAAATCAACGTAATACGTCTAAATTATTTAACCAAATATGCTTGATTAATACACGCATATTATATATATATATATATATATATATATATATATATATATATATATATAATAATCCTTGATAATTAATCAGTTTAGCCAAATAATCACAGTCGTTGATGGGCAAGTTTTTAATTATATGCTAATCGTAGCATTTTCGAAGGTATGTGGGTTACTTGATAGTGTTCTACTTCTCTCTAAATTCGACAGGGGGGAAATCTAGGGTAGATAGATTAGTACCTTCGCCAGATTTCGAACTCTGTCGATTCTATTTATCGAGGTTAAACACCAGACCAACTCTACAGCCTTTGTACTATAAAATCAATTATGATAATCGACTTGCCGTTTAGATATTCACTTGTAGATCTCAAGCGCGAGACGCACACAATTATACTTTCACCAAGTTAATGAATCAAAGCCGTAACCAGACAAGACCGTCAAATGTAAATACACATACTGCAAAAATGTATTTCGGTGATTACTGTCGAAAGAAAAGACATGTCTTCTGTCAGGTGAGGTACCCCAGTTAGTACTTACCATCCACCCAGACTGAGATGGGCTGAATATAGTGTTTGTATTGTTTTATTGTATAGGTATCACGCGGATCAACGTCAGTTGAGATTGTTGCCGATTGTTTGTAGTATAATGCTATGAACAGCGAGTATAATGCGATGCGCACTCTGAAGTCGTGTTTGGTATTGCGGAGTAAGAGGAGGCGATTCTGGATGTCGTCTGGACTCGCTCGCCCAGGCATGCAAAGAAAAACAGTCAACACAACAATTCAAACTAACTCTAATCATTCCCCCGTGCCCAATTTTCTTATCTGCCCGGCCTTATGACAAACAAACCAGTGAAACGAGAAAGACGTCTTGTTTTGTCCAGTTACACTCTGTTGAAGTTTTCTTCAAATATAATCTTTTCTTTTGTGATCTATAATTTTCTTTACTCGGTGAATACACGCGTCTCTCTCTCTCTCTCTCTTTCTCTCTTTCTCTCTCTCTTTCTCTCTCACACACACACATATATATATATATATATATATATATATATATATATATATATATATATATATGAAAAAGAAAGCCCTCTGGAAGTTTTTTGACAAGTGACTGTTTTGATTTTAAATAATTAGAAAATTTACTGAAGTAATTTTTTTCAAATTACAAATAATAAAAAAAAATATTAAGGTAAGCTTATTTACAAGTTCAGTGGTCGCGTGTTCGAATCGTGTTGGTCGCTACCAATTGCAGCGACATTCAGTTTGAAAACTTTCAATATAAATAATTTCAACATTTATATGATAACATATCTCAGGAAATGAGAGAAAAATTCTTCAGTTCGCCATGCAGCTTATGTCGTGAGTGAAAATTAAGTCCGCAGTTTCGAAGCGGGACATGTCTTGTCGCTATGGCAGCCCATGTTTGAAGTAAAAAGGATCTTATTGGAGTTATAAAATTTAATTAGCGAAAAAAGAAAACGAATATAATTAAAATGGAAGCAACTACGGGTATTAGCAATGTGAAAACAAATAACCGGTTATCACTCATCCCTCGTTAAAACTCTACCGAGGAAAGTAACATCGGTTTTGTGCACAACTGAGTAAAAAAGGAAAAACGAAAAATAAAATACACATATGTCAATAATATATTCAGGACGGTATATTTTTTTATAAACAAATCACCTTAATTCCCCAACAGTAAAAAAACAAAACAAAACAAAAACAAACAAACAAAAAAACAAAAACAATCCCGTTTACTTAAGGAAGGTTGTCTCGATTTAGTTAAAATGTTTTCAAGGACTTTTAGATAGTAGATTGCGATCCGCACAAAACTGAGAACATATTTTTTATTTATTTTTGTTTCTAATTTCGTGTTGCCAACTACCGTAGTTGTTTTGCCTCTGTTCCTTTCTATCTGTCAGTTTTTATTGCTTTAGGAATGAAAAAAAGGTTTGCCTACTTTCGTTTTATACTGCTTTATACAGCGCCACCTATCGGACAGCAATAGAGTTTCCTGGAAAACAAGATAGTGCAATCTCACACAAGGTTTAAACTATTTTTATTGGTCATTATTTACAGTAGGGTTACTTAAAAGAAAAAAAAAAGACTTGCTCTCTAGTAGGAGTGGAAAAGGTATACTTTCTACTTAATAATCCTTACGTCTTGAACTTAAATGAAAGAATGTCACATAGATTTAAAGAAAGGGAAACAAAAGATTTAATGTGTTTCTCTAGTTTTCTTTGTGTTTTAGGCTTTTACAGGGAATCATGATAACCGCTTTCTTTGATTGCCTTATTATAATATATTACGTATATATAATCGTAAGATTTATACATGGTTAGAAATGATCCAGGTTCGAATCTAATCGGACAGATTGTCAAAGAGGTGATCTCTTGATAATAGCGATCCTAGCCTTCGGCACTGTTATGAAGTGCCTGAAAACCATACCGCGATTTGAGCCAAATGTTGTGAGATAAAGTGGTGTAAGGAAACTTCAGAAGCAGTCTATGATTGTGCTAGCAGACAAATATTTAATATTCTGTTAAAGAAACATGACGAAAACATTTTTTAAAATCTGAGATTATCACGTGACACAACATATGAGACATAAGACACCACATGAAAGTAATATGAAGAAAAAAAATTAGATTCACTGACAGAAAGAAAACTATACACAATATCTATGTAGTGCACTTTTTGACATCCCTATTTTAAAAAGCCGATCAGAACTATTCTCCTAAATCCCTTTATCAGTTGAACTGCTTAATTTCTGGTATATTATAGAATAAATTATGTGTGTTGATGAAGTGAAAGAAACTTTACATTTTCTTTTCCTTTTTTTTTTTATTTCTCCCATCTATTCCTCTGTTTTCCACCATCTTTTGTACTTTTTCCTTGTTTTCTTATTTGTAAATGGGATTTTAAACGCGAAGTTTGCGAAACTAAGCAATTTCCCTCGGTGAAAATCTTATTTAGACAATCACATTAGCGCGTTGATTTAAATTCTGGAAGACATTCGTCCGGGCCAACAGTTTAAGAACAATTTGTGAACGCGTTGGCACCGGAAGCTGTAAACTTTTTAATTGGGAAAATCTAAGGAGCAGGAAATGAAGAATCAGGCTTTTAAAAGAAGAAAACCAAGAAGATTTTCCTTCTTTTAAATCTAGAAATTGGTACACAATCGATTTCAAGTGGTAGAATATTTGGATTGGAATCTATTCCATTGGCAAAAAGAAATGCTACGAAACATTCCTCTTTTTGTAGCAAGACCAATAGTTTAACAGGCTCGCCATTCCATGTATTGGTGTTTAACCTTCCATAAAACGAATTTGTAAGGAGGATAGGAAAAAAAAACAACGAATAAAAAACAACTCCAAAATATTCTTTGTTCGTCATATTCAAGGCAACCTGTATAAAATGATTTCTGTTTCTGTTGTGGTGTCCTCACTCTAAAGAGTCTATGTTGGACTCTTCCGCTTACTATAAGATTAGTAGGAGAGAAGGCCTTAGTGGAACAGTCGAATAGATTGAACACTGAGTCAACCGACACACACTCACTAGTCGTGTAATACTCTTCTGTTGTACTTACTGTTTAATATATATCTGCAATACTTGTTTTGTTATTTCTTTAACCATTTACTTCGCCACAGCACTATCTATCTATCTATCTATCTATCTATCTATCTATCTATCTATCTATCTATCTATCTATCTCCTTCCTATCTCTCTCTCCTTTGATCTATCTATCTATCTATCTATCTATCTATCTATCTATCTATCTATCTCACTCTCCTTCCTATCTCTCTCTCCTTCCCATCTCTCTCTCCCTCCTTCCTTCCTATCTATCTATCTATCTATCTATCTATCTATCTATCTATCTATCTATCTATATCACTCTCCTTCCTATCTCTCTCTCCTTCCTATCAATCTATCTCTCTCTACTCCCTATCCATCATCCATCTCTCTATCTATCTTATCAATCTCTCTCTCTCTCTAACTTATCCACCTCTCTCTCTATCTCTCTCTTATCCATCTCTCTCTCTCTCCCCTATCCAGCCTGCGTCTCTCTTTGTGCGAGGAACCACCGTATTATACAGCGTGCTTTAGATCGCTCGGTCACGGAGAGCCTCACAAACCCGTCAGGTTCTATTGACCCTTTTAAGGAATGCGTAATACCCACTGTTTAAAAAGAAACAAAATTGGGTTTCTACTCGAATACGACTATATACTAAATTACTTTCGAAGTAATAAAAATGTCGGATTAACAATAAATCCATTAATTCTTTAGAGATTGCTTTGTTTACGTTTGATAAGACCTTCGAAAATTTGAATGAAGGGATGTGTATTCATTACATATTGAAGAACGCATATTTAATGGGCCCGAAAGAGAATGCGACCTAAGGTAATGTTAAGCGACATGCGTCATGTTACCATATTCGCATTTCTGTTTCAGTCGTATCATGCCAACTTCTTATTTGACGCAGGAAATTAAATAAAACCATGCTATGTTCGGGTCACAAGCCGCTAACCACTTTCACTCGGGGATAACGAGCTTCTTGAGAATAGACAGGTGTAACGATGGAAGGACAGGTGCTTATTCACGAACTCCACAGAGGCAGCCACAATGATGCACAGAATTTTTTAAATGGTTCTGCGGATTATGAGTAACAAGGGTCATGTCATGCCATTTACTTCTACCGGGAAAGGCTTAGGGTCTACATCGAGATGCTGGGCATGGCGGTTAAGCTCTGGATCGATGGGGTGATGCTTACTTGACACAGGAATTAATTTGTCGATCATGCTACTCATATCATTATGACTTCCTAGCACTCCCGATTTGAATCCCCCTGTACTACTGCGTCTGGGACATCGAGGAGAACAATGAGCAGTCCCACAATACCAACAACTTATTTAAGGCAGCAGTTGGAGACATGATAGGCAATATGAACGAGAACTACTGGGTCCAAACAAACTGTCTCACCCGAGGCCGCATTGAGGCTGTTTTCAAAGCCTAGAGAGGTTGTATAGAAAAAAAAAGCTCTTTCTGTTTATGTACACACATTATGTGCTTAACATGTGTACAATCTTTCTTTCGTCATTTTCTGTTTCATAACTGGATGTGGTTGTATGGTCTCTGCGCACATAACCAGTTTCCTTCACATATCTGAGGTGAAAGCCGGAGCGATATTCACTCATGCATAGCATATAGATTTGTTGGATCTTATCCCTCTTCAGGCAAAACCAAATTCCTATTCTTTCGAAATTGAATGCTCGTCTTGACCAAGGACAGGGAATCGTTTGATCTGGCTAATGACTTTAGTCTTGGAAGCCTTTCACCCATCGATACCCCGTTATCACCACACAGATTGCATACATAATATATATGAAACGCGATCCAACCCATTATGTTAGAGGACAGTTAATCCTGCAAGAATGTCCATTCAACCTTTGACATATTTTGTTTTTAATCCTACTGGGTGTCTAAAAGAAAAGCCTTGAGAGAGAGAACCGGTTTATTGGCTGATGATCCAGTCATGTGGCACGTGGTACTGGGTTACATCGTATCAATAACTCGTAGCGATCTCTCTCTCTCATCCTCTATCTCTTTCTCATCCTCTCTCTCATCCTCGATCTCACTCTCTCTCGCTCTCACTCTTTCTCGCTCTCATACTCTCCCTCTCGCTCTCTCTCTCTCTCATCCTCGCTCTCTCATCCTTTCACTCTCTCTTTCATCCTCTCACTCTCTCATCCACTTTCTCATCATCTTATCCTATTTCTCAATTTCTCTCTGGTTTTCATCTTCTCTCACTCGTTCTCATCTCTCTCTCATTATCTCTCGCTCTCATTATATCTAGCTCTCTCTCTCTCATCCTCTCTCTCTTATCCTCTCTCTCTGGCTCTCGCTCTTACCCTCTTTCGCATTCCCTATCTCTCACTCTCGTTCTCTCTCTCTATCGCCTTCTCTCCCTCTCTCACCCTCACGGTCTCTCGCTCTCGCTGTCTATCACGCACACAGGTCCAACAATATACGAATTCTTTTATGGTATATCTTTCGGTATAGAGTAAATCATTGTCAATTACCTGTCGCACACTGGCGTTATTTTATTCTTTTTGTACACTGTATATTTTCTGTCTGCCTGTATAGACGTATTTTATTTTTATTTTTTTAGTTAAGACATATAAAGATGCGCACAAGAAAAATATTCCCTTCAGGATGTGGGAGATCTTGACTCTCCGCAACCTCCTATCACTTCAACAAGCTCTTTAGGCAGCTTACTCGCTGTTTCCCTCCGTTACTCTTGTTTTCAGTATGTCGTGTTGGTGTCAAATAATTCAAGCTTCCTTTCTTTATATATCCTAGATATTTCGGCTATCTCTTTCTGATGCTGGTTATAAGTGTGACACTATTTAGAGTTGTTAGAAAGAAAGAAGAAAAAAAGAAAAGGCGAGAATTAAATTTAGGTGATAAGAATCTATCACGAAAAGACGATGTTATTTTTTTTCTAACAAAGAAAAGTGCTAAAGGTTTTATTCTCATTAGCGAAGAAAGTAGGGTCACGGATGTGTCGGATTTGATTTGATTTATGACAATCTGCCCCGAAGGGTGAAAATTTCAGGTTGGTCAGGTGGCCTACAGGGCAGAATTCTAAAGAGATAAAAATTAATTGGGTCTGACCGGAAAAATGTCCGTTGGACCCACCGCAGATTACAAAAACAAAAGACTTGAAACCATTAGCTATCTACGGAGATGTCGTTTGGAAAAAGGCACCTGTTTTATTGTCAAGAGCTGGCCATGATAGCAAAATTATTTTATCGGAACGAATAATTGACTGGAATGTGGATGTCGCCGGATGACCACCCACTTGTTTGGCGAAGGTGAAAAGTGATGAATCCCAGGTGACATTCAGGATAAAATTGAGATTAAGAGACCACACTACGGGTCGTATTGGGTTGTTGTCGAGAAGAAGAAAAAAAAAAAAAAAAAAAAAAGGAAGATAATTTTTTTCTTTGAGCAAATTTTTTTTTAAACCGAGGCTAGTCTGGCCACACCCACGCTGCTGAGCGCCCATTGGCTGAATGGTGGCGTGAGCGTTAGGCGAAGGTAATCATGTGAAGAAGGAGGGGAGGCCTGTTGACGCCCCCCCCTGAAGGGATCGGTGTGAGATGCCACTGTGAGAGAGAGGGGAAACCTGTTGACGCCCCCTGAAGGGATTGGGTGAGATACCAATATGAGAAAAGAAGAATCTGGAAGGACTTCAAAAATGGAAAATAATAAATTTTCCTGACCGAAAACAAAGAAGTTGATTGTGGATTTAGAATTATCAAAGAACCTCAAACCCCGACAAGCCCACCCCGGTTTTTGGTCGGCGTCCATATAAGCAGAGTCGCAACGAGTTGCAGCAGTTGAGTGGAGTTGCAGTTCAGTTGACAGACAGCAGTTCGCAGTTGCAGTTGACTTGAGCTGAGTTGAATTGAAGGCCCGCCTCGCAGAAAGCTGACTGAAAGATTCACGCATTCTCGACCTCAACTTCTAACCAAGAACAATTTATTTTTGAAGAACGACTTAGACTCACGCCACCAAAACAAGTTTTACGAATATCGCCTGAAGATACACCAGGAACCAGTTTCTTAAAGAACAAACAACTTAAGATGTTAAGACTCGCCTAACAAACACAAAGTGTCACGAATCCATATAGCGGGTTTGGGAGAAAGACGCAGTCCTGTATTCAGCAGCCAGATATAAAATATTGTTATCCTTTTTAACACATTTGAACTTTTCGAGTTATTATTTTATTTTCTTTTACATATATTTGTGCGGTATTACCCTTGTCCGGACTCGACTTGCATTACGGCCCGGCGACTGATTGATTTCGTCTACCTAAGATCAAATCACAACGTGGGTAGGTTAGACTAGAAATCAAAACAGTTATTTCGGTAACCAGACGTTGGAGGCGAGCTGGGAACGACAAGGCTGATACCGAATCTAACCAGATTCCCATCCGAATCAGCAAAAGGTTAGAACGTCACATTTGGTGCCGCGACCAATACCAAGTCACATTGGTCGCCACGGGACAGAATAGGACGGCGACGGCGCGGAGAGAGACGGGGTGACGTCACAATTGGCGCCGCGACTAGGACAGCACGATGGGCGCGGCCAGGCAGACGTCACATTTGGCGCAGCACAACGGGGGACGTCACATAAGCGTTCTTTTTGTTTCCATTTTCCTTAAAACTTCTCTTTTTCATGTGGGAGAAATTGTCCAGCATTTATTGCCATTACAGGAGGATTTATATTGCATAGCCGTTCAGCATAATTTTCTTTGTCCCTAAATGATTCCTAAATGATTAATAAAGTGGTTTCACTTCTTTTCAACTCTGTTAACATTGAGAGCCTCACTTTCAGCAATTTGAGCCGAACTGCAGATGTAGCTTTATTACTAATTTTACCAAAGAAAATTAGCTTGCACGGACGTCTATAAATATACATTATTTTCACGTCGTGTATTTTCCAAAATTACATAATTATTGAAGAGTACTCTGTACGTCTTTCTTGCCGGTGTATTCAGCGTCCCTTGATGGGCCTTCACAATTTTTCTCCATATGCTAAATCCTCCCGCCCATGTTCTGCCATCCATTCACACAAGTTCATCTAGTAGGTGGCTCGCTGGCTTTCCCTATCTCTTGCTCTCAATAAGCTTGTGAGGGTTAAGTTTTCCAAGCCTTTCTTCCTCATTAGGAAGGAATTTCAGCTATCTCTTCCTGATTCTGAGCATGTTCTTTTTGTTGCTATTTTCATTCACACTCCCTTGGAATTCTCAGTATCCTTCTGTAGAAATACATTTCTGTTGCCTCCAGTTTTCTTCTCACCAATGGGAAGATTATCCAGCATTCAGTGCCGTATAAGAGGCTGGTTTTGTTTTGTGGTTTGTTTTGTTTTAAGGCATATCAGCCTCAATTGGTTATTTAATGCCGATACGATTTTTATTGCAGGTAATATTTTTGCCAAAAATGTATTTCTGGTAATTTTTTTTTCAAAAATGTATTGCTGGTAATAATTTTTCCAAAAAGTATTACTGTTATTAAGACCTATTTTTATACTTTCATAGTGTTTTGAAACCAGTTTGGGGGTTGACTATTTACCCATAGATGGGACCCTAACAGGTACTACCACCCCGCGTCAGGGTGGACCTGAGAACACCAGCAATTAAGAGGTGGTTCCACGCTCCTCATAACCTCCTGATCAGAGGCCTTGCTGCTGGACGTAGTTTATCGTCTTACACAAAACGCGAACGTAGCTTATCGTCTTACCCAGGACGCGGACGTAGATTAACGTCTTATCCAGGATGCGGATGTAGTTTATCGTCTTACTCAGGACGCGGACGTAGATTAACGTCTTATCCAGGATGCGGATGTAGTTTATCGTCTTACCCAGGACGCGGATGTAGATTAACGTCTTACCCAGGACGCAGGTGTAGTTTATCGTCTTACCCAGGCTGTCTACCACATAGTAGTCTAGATGCGTGCGAATAAAACTATATGCGCGTGAAAGAATAAAAGCAGTCATCCGTGCAAAAGTACTTGCTCATTCTGTTTGTGCACGAATGTTGATGCAATGTTACTAAATACATGACACTTCAGGAAATTTGCTTCGTATAGCAATTACCATCCTAGTAATCTTGATTCTCACTAGTTGCCTCAAATTAACCCACGCTTAGTAAATACTGATAATGACTCGGCGTAGAGCAAGCGTTAACACAATATTACAAGCTCTATATGAGGAGATGTGCACGGACTGATTTATGAAACAAGTCTGCTAGAGGCAACAATTAATGAAGAAGGGAAGTGTCAATAACTAATTTACATTTATAATGATTATCTCTCACTATGCGAAAGATAGTTCCTGTTCTATCATCGTGTCAGACGTTATTTTACACTAACAAAAGCGATAATCAAGAGATACTGGAGGAAAGAGTAAACGGTTATAAAATTACTATATGAAATAATAAAGCTCTAAATGTAATTCTGTATATGTGGTATAATGTTCGACTATCCAATCCCTATCGCAGACACCTGCTCAGGCACATTTATTCAAAACCCATATTTATTCAAAACCCACAGAGCCCACATACATATTGTTTATACAGCAACTCTGTTGAGCGATCTATCTATCTATCTATCTATCTATCTATATATATATATATATATGCATACACGTGTGTGCCTTTAACGCATTTCTCTTTGTGTGTGCATGTTTGTGCGTATCTCTGTTTACAGATCAGTTACTTCTGTAGAAAATCAAGGGCGAAGGTCAAACACCGCCGACAACAAACAGAAGACGAATATGGACGAAACAACATTTAAAGGTCGAAAACGAAGCGGCCATTCCGAGTATAAACCGTACCAAAGGCGAAAGACGAGGCCGCCAACATTGATTGGTCTCATCAGGCCACAATTACACATATAAGGCTAATGAGCAAACAACTGTCCAAAACAGAGAAGAATTACAGTTGATTTTTTGATCGAATGAACATAATAATAGACAAAATGGCGGATAGCGAAGGAAGAAAAGCTGAAGGTGGGGGTGGGGGAGAAGGAGAAAAACGTATCAATTTGATGCAGTTACCAGATGTCAGTATGAAAGTAGGGGGACGGTTGCTGGGAGGGTATTAGCTGAACCGAATTGTGTCGACGAGTGTGGAAACTTCAGGGTGAGGGCTAACAGCGTATGACCTACAGCACTGTTTACGGTAGGCAATTACGGCTTTTAATTTCTCTCTGGCATGAATCGGACAGAAATTGAAAAATCAACACCTAATCTTATTAAAGTTCTGAAGTTGGCCTAACAAGGCTGGATCTTTTTACCGGTCTTGTTTGTTCACCGGTCCGATGATCCGCTAAGTCGGAAGAGAAAGGACAATCGCGGAGATTGGGGGAGGCAAGCAATGGAGGCGGATGTAGTGACGGGGAAGAAGGCCTGAAACTCTTATGGACACTCGATGCACGCAGCCAGTATTACCTTCCCAAATATAAAAATGTGATACAATACCAGACGTA